GGGGAGCGACCAAAAAATTTTCTTCTCTAAAATTGTCTCCTTTCACCTCCTTTCCTGCTCTCTAACAATGTTCTGTTGTCTGCTTTCATTTCCACTTTCTGCCCCCACCCCCTCACCTCCTTTGCCCCCTCCTCTGGGCTCCTGACTCTTTCTGCAGCCTTTCTACTGCTACTCCTTGGCTCCTCCTTACTGCTGTCTTTCTGCCACACCCCTGATCTTCTGGTAGGAAAGATCTACACCTAGCCTTCTCGGACAAGGGCGAAAAATCTTGGAGGGCCCGTGTGCAAGTTGCGCACATTAAAGATCCCTTGGTGGTCTAAAATCGATAAGAGTAGGCTTCGGCCGCCACCCGGGCAAAAGTCCAAATTTCCTACCAACTGAAAATATTAGGTGTGTCCCGCGCGCTCATATGACCTATGCAGTTGCGAGCGCCGTAAAACACTTTACAAAAACAAAACAAAGTCCTATATGATCTGAACTGTGTTGATGGGGACGTAAAAAAACAAACCCCGAAACCCTCATTTTGTTAATTCCTTGTCAGTTGTAGGTCCTCTACCTCCCAGCACTACCTCCAAAAATAATGTTATGTTTGTTTAGTATAGGGTTTTATGGCGCTCACAACTGCATAAGGTCATATGAGCGTGCGGGACACACCTAATACTTTTTCGTTGGTAGGAAATTTTGAATTTTGCCCGGGTGGCGGCCGAAGCCTATCTTATCGATTTTAGACCACCAAGGGATCTTTAACGTGCGCAACTTGCACACGGGCCCTCCGAGATTTTTCGCCCTTGTCCGAGAAGGCTAGGTGTAGATCTTTCCTACCAGAAGATCAGGGGTGTGGCAGAAAGACAGCAGTTAGGAGGAGCCAAGGAGTAGCAGTAGAAAGGCTGCAGAAAGAGTCAGGAACCCAGAGGAGAGGGCAAAGGAGGTGAGGGGGTGGGGGCAGAAAGTGGAAATGAAAGCAGACAACAGAACATTGTTAGAGATCAGGAAAGGATGTGAAAGGAGACAAAAAAATAATGCTATCAGTTTTATATAATAATCATTATCATCATCATTATAATCATCATAATAATAATGAATTTCATTTATATAGAGCCATATCCCATAGGAGTACAAGCTCTGAGCGCTTCACATCGATCACATGATCACTGAGTGTAATACTTCATTCACACAAGATAAAACATTTCACAGTAACAAGAAAACCACAAAACTACCAGCATTTCTTCCCCCCCCCCCCACCTTTCCCCAATGCCAGCAACACTGTCAGCTACACAACTGTTGTTTGCTTTATTGTCTAGACCAAATAAATCATTGTTAGGCATAACTGAGAAGTTCATTAATAGAAACAAATATTCCCATAAAATGAAAAGAATGTTTCAGCTTCACATGAAACAACAGCTCAAAACTGATAAAAGTATGAAGATCAGATATATATATCTGATATATATATATACTGGCAAAGTGACTCTTTTTTTCTGAAGAAACAAAGATAAAATTGTATGGAACAAATGTAATAAATGTTTACACATACTTTTATGAGAGCACACCATCACTGTAAAGAAAGTAACTGAGACCAGGAAAATTAAGAAACTTACTGCTTACTTGCAACTTACTGCTTACTTGCAACTTGTAAACTTACCTGGCAAAACTGTTATGAACTCTTGCCAACTCTGGCATGTTAGCTATGGCAAAACCTTTGTCCTGTTTAGACAGAGAATCAGTGAATATGTAATTTATAATTAGCCATTCTTATTTTCACATAATAGGACATATGGGAGTCGAATTAATCTTACATTTTGACAGTGATGATAACAAAACGATGAGCATTCTCTCAAGATTCAAGGCAATATAAGTTGCAAAAACATATTATTACTAAAGAAAGTGCACACAAAAGACAGAATAAAGGTAAAACAGTACCACTTGTAAATCTACACCACATGCTCATTTATATTTATTTTCAGAAGATGAAGAAGTAAGTATAATTCTTAAGCAATCATGTATAAAGTGACAAATTCTGAACAGATTGCTGAGAAGATGAAGAAGTAAGTATAATTTTTGAGCAATCATGTATAAAGTAATAAACATTCTAAACAGATTGCACAACATCTCTATGACACAGGCCATCCTTGTTGCTATACACAGACCTACCACTCTAAGTTTTTAGAAAAATTTGGTAAAACAAAAAAATCGGGATACACGCGATCGAAATTGGGATGCTTGAGATTTGGGG